GGCAGGGAATAATTGGTATAATGTGATTCTCCTGTTTTCGCACTTGTAGCAAGCTGTTGTACTTGTAACAAACAGTGTCAACTGGTCAACATGTCCTATCTTGATCTTCTGTTATTGCCATCAATTCTAGTACACTGCTAAATCTTATACAAATAACATGATTGCTTTTAACATAGGTTCAAATGAGCTGTATTAGAAACCCCGTAATACTCAGCTATGTATTCGGTGATCCATGGTCCATAATTCGCCGCACCGCCGCACCTAATTCTGGCTTTAAACTGTTTTGAGGGTAGTCCATTTAGGTGGGGAACGACACTGGAACGACATCTGAAACGACATCCAAATCATACATAGACATATATGGGAATCTGTGAAAACTACATTATATTTTGTTTAGTCTTCCATTTCCATCCCCCATGAGCCATTTTTAGCTTTCATAACCCTGTAGCGTTGGTATGCGGTGGTTATGTCATGATGTTAAGTGACAGATCTGATTCCATTTTATTTGAAATCCAATCTGAGTGCTTAGATCGGTCACAGAGCAATATGTCAAATTTTTGAATACCGCCGGCGATCTGAACGACATCCGAAACGACATCTGAACGACATCCAAAGTCGTCCCAGGTGATCATAGACCCATTTGACCCGTTTTGGTTTTCTTTTCTCATTTGAATTTTGAGGCGCACAAAGAAAAGGCAAGAATACAGCACAGACACAGAACAAAGTGATCATTGATGTGGAAAAAATAACAGAGCATGTCGTTTGCATTGCCGGCACTCAAAATCCATTCCTTTGATGGGCATTTCAAACGGCTGGAATGGAGGTACTGTACCCCGTTTAGGACCATATTTTTAGGTAATTATCCTTCACATAGCCTTATATAAACATATATGACCCTTTTATATCGTAGATGTCTCCATTTTCTGTACACAATACAAAACAACCATTCATTGTTCTATTTCTCCGTATCTCAAAAGCATTCAAGATTCCGTCTGGCAATATTAATATATAATCTGGAAATGTGGAGGTCCTATTGTAACATGAAGACCGCCGCATGGAATTACGATGATTTGTGGTTGGGATCAGCATTTTCAAACGGGGTTTTTAATACGACTCAAATCTCGTCAAGCGGATGCCGCTGATTTCTGATCCTTACAGCTGTTCAAACATGTGAATGGAACACAACGAGTGCCTTCCAAAAAACACATTTTTCCACAATTTGGTTGCTTCCGGGCACGTGCATATGCATCAAAATGCATCGGCAAAAGAAACGCCAACTGACTGACAGTTGCTGCAACTGACTGACAGTTGCTGCAGCACCGGGAGCCGATTTCTGCATCAATTCGCTAGATAGAGAGAAAGATAGATAGGTATAGGTAGACAGATAGATCGATAAGTAGATAGATAAGTAGATAGATGGGTGGATAGATATAATGCTGTAAAATCTGATTGTTGCATTTACAATATATATATATATACATATATATTCGGAAACTATATAGATATATACAAGGTGTAAGTAACTAGGTAAATTTCAGTTTTTGTCTATGTTCATATGTATTCTTCGTCCAGGTTAATTATTCAATATTCGATGTGGGGGTGCTAACGAATTCGAAGGAGGAGCCCGCAATATAACCATTTGTGTTTGCGTGATATCTCAAGAAATACTCTACGTGGGGATGTCTTCCACTTCGTAGATGGAATGCCCTATCTATCTATATATATATATATGTGGGGGTTGATGGGTCAAATATGGTAAACTATTTCCTGACTGGGATGCGCATCCAAAGAGAATACCTACGCCCAATTGCAACTTTCATCTCCCAATGCCGCATATTCTGCAACCGCACTTTGCGCGGCTGCAGTTGATTCGTACCGCGCACGGATATGTCCCGGCTGGCCTTTGTAAATTGTACACTCACCTCAGAGCACGGGGGCAAATGACACAAATAGAAACGTCAAAGCACATCGGTGTGCAGTTGGGGCTCCCTATGGAAAAACTTTGTGAGAGAACCTCTGCTTTGTAGCCGCCAAAACGTATATATAAAACCCATCTAGCTATGGTATAATTACTATGTTTGATGATCGTATATTATCAATGTATTTATAGGTAAATAGACATTTTTGAACTTATTTATACATATAGTTACATACATACACATACCAACATGTTAGCAGGAAGCGCGCTCAAACAACAGCCAAACAAGTCGGAGGCGGAAGTTTCGCAGCTAATGGCCTACGCAACACCAAAGAGATCATGCGCTTCTAGAACGTGTGCACGGGCACCTTCACGTTCAGAGCTGCGATCTTCTGCGAGAGGGCTTGCTGCTTTTCCTCTCTTGACATCTCTTTCTCTTGACATTTCTCTCTTGACATATCTTTTTGTTGACATCTCTTTCTCTTGACATCTCTTTCTCTCGACAACTCTTGCGTTTGACTGTTCGGGCAGCACCGTTTCCTCAAGGAGAACTTTCTACCCTTCTGTTTGCTATTTTCCTTTCCAAAGGGAATGGAATCGTGGAAGAGTTCCAAGAAGCTGAACTTGACTTGGATTCTGTTTTGGCCTGGAAAGCCAAGTAGTTCCAGAAGGTTGCGGACATGTTTCTAGCGGATCCTGCAGTTTGACAAGGTTTTTACCGGGTGATCTTGTTCTCAGTGTGCTCCCGGGCATGTACTCTGTATGATGGCAGCCGTGCAATGCAGAAGTTCATGTTGTTGCAAAGTCTTCAGAACACCTCGTGTTTGATACCCGTGTCGGCTTTCATCTTGTTACGCGATCGTATCCCATCTGAGCAAACACAAGAAATCAGCAGCCAAGTGGCCCTCAAGGAAATCAAGGTGAAGTGCATGCACAGCCGCCTGCGTCTTCCTGGCGGCATGAGGCTTCCCAGCAAAGCTGCAAGTCTGTCAGAACGATACAACTCATCAGACAAACAGGTATACAAGTGTGCTATTCTTATAAGCATTCAAGCCAATGACCCGCTAGCACACTCGAATCACACTCGTTGCTGCATCCGTCGCATGTACAGCAGGCAGTTACAAACTCTTTAGCAGCAGCTTGGCTAGCGACACATTTGACATCCGGATTTCCAATGCTCAACCTTGTTCTTTAGGCGGGCGGCGATGAACGCCAGCTCGCTTCAAACCTTGTGACCGCACCAGGTTGAAGGCCGTCCGGTGCACTTTAGCACACGACGGGCGTTTCATCCGTGCTGCTGGCCTTTTGGCAAGAAAGTCTTTGACTTTCCTGGCTTCCTCCTTGCGTCTTGCGTCAAGGGGGAGCTTGGGCTTGGCTTTGACATCGCAGCCAACCCATGAATTCCATGCATCTGAGTTCCACAACCCACCACCAAGCCTTCGGGCCAACACGTGGCCCGAAACCATCTGCCTGGCTGTGGGTGAATACAATATGAATTATGAGACAAGAGCTTGGCAAGGGTCAAGATGTGTAGTTTGATTTCTAAAGTACTTTTGTGCAAGCTCTGTGTCTGACGGAACCATCCATTGAGTTCAGCGTGCAAGCTCTCATTACTTGTGGTGCCCGCTGGTAGCAAAGCATTTTCCGTTGGTGATAGGCGTCCCCTCACCAGCAAATTGTTGAACAAGTAGCCCAACCGATCTGGCTGCGTGGCACTCCACAGCAGCTTGTACAACGGCTTGCCTTCCTCTGACTTCTTGACGACCTCAGGTCTGAAGCACGAGCTGATAGCAGCCAGATGTTCAAGAAAATCTTTGCGGCAAGTCCAAACAAGCAGCTCTTCGGACTTTTGCAAGACTCTTCGGGCTTTCGCCTCGCCCATGCTACCATCCAAGATTTGCGTGCGGAATGCCTCCTCAGCAGAAGTGAATGGCTTAGCATCTTTTGTGAAGAATTGCCACCGCTGTTCGCAAGCCATGCTGGCATCTTGGTTGTTGAATTTGGCCATACATCGCCGCAAAGCTGCAGACCCCGCCGTCTTCTTACGGCCCGAAGCGGATTCGTAGTGCATGGAAAGGTGAACTGGGTCCAAAGACAACGCAACCAAGTTTGGCATGATTTCTTTCAGGGTGGTGAACAGTTTGTAACTGGGCGCGTCCGTAGCCACATACAAGACTTGATGAAGTGCTGCAGCGCTAGCGTGCTTGGTCAATCCCAGCCGAATGTCTTCGGCCCCTTCGCCAGGCGCGGGAAACATAGCAACCACTGCGCCAGTACGCCCCCGAACGGTGATCACACGGTTCACGCTCTCACTCCCATGAAAGGGTGCATCTTCCCGAGCTGCTTTTCCCGCATTGAACGGCTTTTGCCCCAACACGCTCAAGCACACCCTGAAAGTGCCATCAATGGAAATTGCTTTGTATTCCTCGTGTGAGACACATTCCGCCAGAATGGAAGATCGCAAGGCGAGGCACCGGTCAGAAAAGAAGACATCTTCAACCAAAGGCCACCATCGGGCTGTATGGGATGGAAGCAAGTTCACTAAACTGCAAGCATGTCGGGCAGCATCCAGCATAAACCTGGGCCAGACTGTCTTCACCTGCCAACGGTCATGTTTTCATTGCACAAACTCCTGCAATAACACAGCCAACACAATCACCTTTTCCATCGGAACAATCATCAACCTTAATGCGCTAGCCCCAAAAGCATGACAGGTGTTATGCTATATGTTCGGAGTTCCCTCGCCTTTGCGTGGTGCAGGACAATCTCTTGGAAGAGCTGCTCTGCAAAGGGCCTTGTGTAATAGATATTTCCAACCCGGCGGGCGACCAGGCTGTGTCCGAGAACGGTTACATTCACATACCGGGGGCCCGTTGAATCGAGCACCAGGCGAATGCTTTTGTCGATCCAGTTGACAGACGATGGAAGCGGTGGCTGGACCTGTTCCCGTAGCACTTGCGCGCTGCGCAGCAAATACTTTCCGTGACGAACACCTGCAATCATGTCTGAATCATGGAGCGATAGTACGCATTTCAGTTGCTTCGTGCCTGAACAGCAATATTGGTTTTTTGCCACATGATACTTGGACAGATGCTCTTTCACACGGCTAGGACTTTGAAAGCTCCGCCACGGGCACAATGGACACGAATACTTGTTCATCACCTGTACAAACTGTCCTTGCCGAATATGATCACAAACTTCTTTCGCCAAGCTGCCGAGCAGAACCGAATCTGTAATGACGACAGCCCCATCTTCCAGCCATCGGTTGCAACCCGGTTCACCATCATCTGGTGGGTCATCGCCTTCGACAGCGCCTGTAGAAGCTGTATCCGAAGGAATATCTACAACTGCAACTTCATCTCCTGATTCAGAGCTGAGCACATAAACGGATGGCTGCTGCAGCGACGATCTAGCTTGATCAGGTGCTTGCGGTGGCTCCTGTATGCTAGCAGGCCGCTTGCGCCCCGAAGCTTCCAGATTCAGCAACGAGGCCACATCTTCATCGTCCAACTCGTCAGAACAGAAGGGCGCAGGGTCGACAGATTCGTCCAGAACCCGAAAATAGACACATGTTGAACTATCCATACCTGCAGCTACTGCTTGCTCAAAAGCCGATCGAGACTGCTTGTATGCGCCATCTGTATCATAGACGACGCATGCGCCATCATCCTCGCCAATGCGAAGCCCCACACAATGTGGCACCCCCAAGCCCTCTGAATGGACCAAAAAAATTCCAGCGTCAAGTTCTGAAACCTGAACATACGGAATGAGCTTTACTTTGCACAGCTTCTCGCATTGCTTGTAAGAACGGGTGGTTGCAGCCTCTGACTCTGCGGCCACAGCTTGCTCAACCAAAGCCCGATTGCCTAGAAGGCTTGCAATGGCGGCAGGTATGCAGTTTCCATCCTTTTCCAACAAGCTCTCACCCGTTCCCATTGCCGGCGCTTGCTCTGAACTATTTTTGATAAGTTGCAAAACACTTCTGTGACGCTTCTCACGAATGTGGACCTGAAATCCAGTTTTCATCTCGATATGCTTCTGGCTCAAGTCACATAGTTCTTGTGTGTCCATGTCGTGGGGCAAGGCGACCCGCACTCCGTCGAAGTGCAAAGACACATGGGTTGGTTTCAAAGTCTGCAAAAAGACCACCCACTCGCTCAAGATGTAGTCTTCTGCTGCCTGATAGAGATGAGCAAGAATGGACATATCAGGGTTCTTCTTGTTGACGGCTGGAGAACGAAAGCGATGGAATTCGTCTTCTAGCAAAGACATGGATAGCCATCGGACATAAAGGGACACTTTGCTGATGCATATCAAGAATTTATTGCCGGCCAAATCATCAGGGATGGCTCCACCATACAGAATTGCAGTCAGAATTTGTTTTCCCTTTTCTCGACTTGTTTTCAATTCCTCGCGGATAACCTGATCTCTGTGCGACACGCATCGGTCAAAAGCAACTCTGAGATCCTGAGGTAGAGGAGGCACCGGCTTCAGTTTGTCTAAGAGCTGGGCGATCACTGTGAAAACAGAATTGGAAATGTCAAGGTCATGGGTGTGCGAAAGCAGATGCTGCTGGGCTCTCCGGGTGAATTTTTGAGCGCGGATGCCTTTTACAATCTTTCGTGTGCGCAACACTGTGGTGCTGGGGTACTCGTAAGATGACTCTACGGTCCAAAGCTTTCGCCTAGCATCATCATCAACAATTTCGTCCTTGACTCTGGTCTCCTCCTGCTTTACCTCGGGGCCCTTCATCCTTAACCTTTTCCGGGCAGGACTTTGCTGAGAAGAAACGACCTGCGGGCCAGTGAGCTCCTTCAAGAGCGACAAGCACATGCGCTCATGGTCGAACATTTTTTGTGACCTTTCAGCATACTTCTCCTTCTTTGCTTTTGCTGCAGCAGTTGGGCGTCCAGCTGCCCCCGTTTTCCTTGCAATGTTTTTGTAGACCAAGGCCAAGAGTTGAGCATTGTCAGCCCTGCTGGGTGCCTCAACATATGTTGAAAAGGCTGCGGTTGCTAGGCTCTCTTCCAAGTCGGGGCAACTAGTTCTGTCCGTGTAGGCAATGAGGCTTTGTAGCTTCACCCCAGTAGTGATGCCAAGAGCAAAAACAATCTCACTTTTTCCTCGAGAATTTGACTGGATCAATCTCTTGTTTTCCTTCATGGTGTCGATAAGATGCTCCTTGCTCAAGTTTGGAACTCTGTTGAATTTCAACTTTTTCAGCATAGGAGCCGTGAGGTCCAACCTCCTTTGTATGAGCAAATGGTTCATCAATGTCTCGGACACATTGCACCAAACTACATCAGGATCGTCCGCAGGTGGGGGCTCGGAGTCAAGCACAATAACACTAGCAGCGCGGGTTGCTACATTGCGGACGTCACGGGGGGGCATCCCGCACGCTTCCCGCATGGTTTGCTCCGTGAGGCCTTGGTCGCCGCCCCAATATGCATAGTCTTCGATCAAGCGCTCACATTCGTCCTTGCCGTATTTCATCTCAAAAGCGTTCTGGATCTGCAAGGCGGCCAGAATGGCAGGGCCGGAGGTGAGAAATTGCTTGAGGTCCGGGTCCTTTGGGAAGATACCGTCTCTCCACATGTCTGCATAAGCTCCTTGCAAGCGGCTCTTTCATCAATACATGCTTATCTTATCTCGCAAACCCGAAACGGTAACAGCAAAGTAACTTCAACACCCTTTAGGCTTAGACAGCCAGTCCTTCAATCGCGCGAGGGTCTTCGAAGCGCGCGAGGATGCGAAACACAAAGGATCTCCTCAAGATAGCATTGAAGTCTTTCTTGCTGACTTGCATGAACTTGAACATTCTGTTTGCTTCCAATCTCTTCCATCCACGACATTCTATCATGCGGGTACGAAGGCCGTACGGCTTGCGACCCGAAATGCCTTCGGCACTCATAAACTTTTTATAGAGATCCTCTCTGAGCCGCTTGTTGGTGCCCGGGGCCTCTTGTCCTACGGCCACAGATTGACATCATGTCTTTAACATCGAAAGATGAGCTTTCTTTCAGTCCAACGGTTTTTAAATTATGTTAGCTATTGTCTCACGCACTGCTGTCTACTTGTAATCACGACAGAATGTAGCTGTGACACGCATGACGTATGCGCGTCCTACCTGTCAGCACAAAGCAACCATTCAGCTGCTCAATCTGCTTTCTCATCTCGTCTTCGTTCCACCAGATGTTCGGATCGAAGTACGCAAAGTTGGTTCCATACATCGCCTATGGCATTCTCAAGTTCAAAGGCAAAGTTTACTTTAACACTGTCTTCGACTAACCTCTCTATAGACGGAAATAATTGCAAACCCGATTGCTTTTCACAACTTTCGGCGCCTGCAGATGAGCTGAATACAGCGACTGCCCAACTCCTCCAGAAGAGAGGCCAATGAAGATCCGCACGACATTGTACCCTCTTTTCGCCAAAGCCTGCGCTGCTTGGCAACACTTAAAGACAGGAAGGTTGCACCAAAACGTTTGCCGGTAGAACTTCTGCAGCCTTTCGACAATGTCTGGTTGCACAACCCCTTTGAGCTTATGTGGAATGAAGGTGTACACGTCCTTGATGTTAGCCCTTGCGACCTCACAGGGGCTTCAATTTCTGAGGAAGACACCTTCAAATTTCAAGTTCTCTAATGTCTGCCTATAGAGGCGCTTCAACATCCGAAAAGCTAATCTCTGTTTCCAAAATGCATGCAACTTTCACAGTAGCCAGGCCTGGCGAGCTACACCCTCGTTGCAATACTCAACGCAACAATCTTCGAAGCAGCATGCGGATGCGGTTCTCTTTGGAGTCTCGCACCATTCCACCATGTAGTGCAGAAGTTTTTCCTCTGTGAGTTCCCGCGCAAGCCGTACCTTCAACTGGAGCACAACACGTGCTGCATAAACTCGCCAATTTTTCACATCTCCATCCATATCAGCGTCATCTCCACCCCGCTGCTTCACTAAGCTTTCCCCCACATTGCTTACTGCAGCCTTGATGCACCTCGTCTTGAGCAGCTCTTCATTTTCCCCAGCCTCTTGCCATTGCTGGTTGATGACCTGGAGAAGCCGCTCGTGGTCGCGAGGTGAATCTTCGGGAAAGCGCCGAAACATGCCTTCCAGCTCTAAAAGGAAACTACTGATTCTGCTGGAGTCAGGTGGCACCCCCTTGTACCTCTGAAAGGCACCACAAGGGTGTAGCATGTAGCAATCACCTTCATGAAACCTCAAGAAATCGGAGCCTTCTATGATCCACAGCATCAAGGCATGCTCCCGGATCGACATGTCAGCTAGTCGCAAACAAAAGATTGCCCGCGCAGCAGTGGCCAAACGCACCATGTGTTTCGAAAATCGGGGATAGAGGGCCCCAATGTTATCTTGGTACTTCTGAACCACATGCAAGATTGTATCAAAGTTGGAAACCGGCTCAGCGGGTTGACCCTGGAACTCATCGTTCACATCTGCTAAGCTTTGGAATAAATTTGCAAAATCATCAAAAGAGGTGAGCGCTCCTGGTAGGAGACGGCGTTTCTTCAAAACCTTCCATGTTGACTCTGGAACCTCGTCTCCAATGTCAGGCTCTGCATCATCCAATGGCTCCTCCTTGGCCTGCGTTGCTCCGATTGCGGCAGGCTCTGCGCCAGCTTGCGATCTGGGTTGGTTCGAGGCACAGGCCTGGTCTTCAATCTCTGCATCCACTCGTGCATTGAACGACTCCTCATCTGAGGCACCTCCTCGTCTGTCGTCACGGTTGGAAGCATATTGGACACCCAACACTTTGTCTTTTCTACTCTGCCCCTTGCGGCCTGGCCACACGTGAGCCGCCAGGGCTTGGTATAGCACAACATAACGATAAAAGATGAAAGTTGGCATGTGCTTCGGCTGGCAAGGCATGAGAAATGCTGAGCCCACCTGTAGGGATGGCAAGGACAGGACGTGGAAACAAAGCAATGCAAATACCAGCTGTTTGATTCGATCCCTTCTGCTGCTCGAAGACTTGGCAGTGCTGACGACGTCGAGAAGGGATGGGTTGGACTGGATTTCCGGCCAGAAGAATGCAATCATGGCGCTTTCCAGCTGAATGACTTTCCCATCTTTCACTAAGTGAAGAAATATGCGGGCAACTTCCAATTTGTAGCGCCACTCGATACGGGACACAGCAGTGTCAAAGGGAGCTGGCAAGATCCAGAAAAGGGATGGAAACTTTGCAAGTGTGTGCGAAAAGGGGCTTGTGGTTCTGTAAAATTCATCCAGTTGAACCCAAATGCGCTCATAATTTTGCGGTTGAAGAAACGGTTTGCAGAAGATGCTTTGGATCAGAACCGCATCAGCAGCTGTTTCTAGCTTCCAGCCGCCACTAGTAAGCCCCAACAAGCACAATGGTAGGGGCGATGTTTGGCCAGGGTTGACACTGGAAGCCCCTTCGCACGGCCCCCCACCACGGGAATCTTGTCCGATGCCACGCCCTTCCAATGTCTTCATCAAGGCGATCGTTTGCTCTTCCATCAAACAAACGTTTTCGACGAAGGGCGACTCGCCATTGTCCGGATGGCAACCAACAATAAACATCATGGAAACTTCCTGTGTATAGTAGTTTTGCAAGATGTGTCTGTACACATTGAGTTGAAGTCTGTAGTGCCAAAGCGTGCAGTCAGGAACATCTTGGAGACAACCAAGCATGTTCCTCCCAAAGCTTTGGCACTTTGATTGAATGCTTTGCGTTCGCTTCCAATCCACCAAGATGAGCTTGCTGTTGGGTAACTTCAAAACCAAATCGATTGACCCGGCCAGATCTTCCACTTCCGCGTAGATCATCCACTCTGTGCGGTAAATCACGGCGCCCATGTCCATAACAGCACGCAGAAACAACACGCACAAAGCCAGCTCGTGGTCATAAGTCGTTACAAAGCCTCCGTTGAGAAGACATTCAAAAGAAGTGTGCATCCACGTTCCCTGGGAGGCACCTACCTCTGCAGCACTTTTCCATTGTTGCAAGATTTCAGAATCGCTTATAGCAACGCTGAGGAGCAGGTCCTTGTCTTGTGGATGCTCTGAAATAAAATGGCGCACAAGCTTGCAAATATCTTCTGCTGGAGGAGGCGACGCTGACAGCATTGACAGAAGTTCTGAGGCATAATCCAGGGTGCGTAATTTTGACAATAGTGATGCTGGGATGCTTGATCTCAAATATTTTGGCCTTGGCCATTGGTTTCCATTACGCATCAATGCCAACGCCTGCGCCGGATCAAATCCATGGGAAAATCTATGGATGAGGCCTGTTGCTGAAATGCTGACCCGGCAGCCATGCCAGAAGTATGTGTGGCTGAGCGCTTCAAAAGACAAATGCTGATCAAGAGGATGTGCGTTCACAAGCTGTAAGTGGTCAATGACCTCTGGAGATGCGGCCGGCCAACAGGTAGGCTTCGTTGGCATGATGCTTCGTTGAATGTATCCGTTCCGCAGTTGGCCTGGCAGAAGCGGTTGCAGGCCGACACTCTGCAGAGAGGTGCTGTCAAGCAAGTTCAACGCAGAGGTCACAGGTGCAAGCAGTTTTCCATTGCGTCGAAAGTCCCGCAAAATTTTTGCAACAATCCTGTTGTGCTCTACAGGAGCCTGCACTTTGCGTTTTTTGGAGCCACTTTCATTGCATTGCTCAACTTCAGCTGCGAAACATCCCATGTCCAGGTGAACAGCGCTTCCTCCCTGGACATCTGTATGGTCACCATAGTAGAACTGCAATTGCCGGCGCACCGGTCGACACAGCTGCCTCAGCTGCGTTAGCCGCATCCCTGCCAACATATTGCATACATCCAGCAAAGCCAGCTGAAATACATCGACCGGGCGAAGCCTGTGCCAACAGCTGTTCATCAGATCGCAGCGCGCATCTGAATTCATTCCGGCTTCCAGCGGCGTCTCGCCATCCATGTCTCTAGCCAACGCGTCAGCCCCTGCTGCCAGCAGACACCGCACTGTCTCCACACAATTTGCATAAGCCGCTGCATGCAAAGGCGTTTGACCAAAGGTATCATTTGCATGGATGTCAGCTTCACAAAGAATGAGGAGGTTGACCAGGTCCGGCTTGGATTTCAGTGCTGCCAGGTGCAAAGCACTACGACGATTGCAGCCAACAATAGATGGGCTTGCAGAGCCTTGGAGCAGGACTTTGACGCAATCCTCTCTGTCGTACGCAATGGCAGAATGCAGCACCGGCTCTTTAAATCTTCCAGGAGTGTTGATCCAAGAGTCCGGCTCCTGCCCTGCTTCTAAAACTTTTTTGACACCATCAGCATCTCCCTCCAGAACTGATTGAACAAGAGCAGTAGTGTAGGAAGTTGTACGTGGCAGCAAAAGAATTCCAAGAACTGATGGACAACCGATAGAGGCCCATGTAGCCAAATTGGTGACTTCTGCCCCATAAGCATTGATAACATGTATAGCAAACGTGGGATGATTCAATCGCCAGCCCACAGCCTGTTTCAAGTCTTCGCAAGTTTCACCTTCAGCCACTTCCAGAACCAAAAGCTGTTCTCCGGTGACGGCAGATTCCAGCACCACAGGCCCTGCGCCTAGAACATCGTCTGCATTGGTTTGGCGGCTAGGCCCATCTTGCGATCCTCAGCAATCGTATTGTCGAATTGAACATGTGTGTGTGTGTGTGTGTTTGTTTCAACACTAAAAAACAATCCAAGAGGTGCCTAAAAATATAGTCTCTGGCGCATACAATCTTGGAACAAAGCTGTGGTGCATAGAGCGTTCTGTAATTCAGCCCAAGCATCCGCTTCCACATGGCTGAGTATGAAGCCTTCTCCACTGGTAAACAGCAGTTTCCCAGGTTCTTTTCGACGACTCTTCCACAGGGTTTGGGAATGTCCGAATTGCGTCCAAGCTGCCCAATCTAGTGGAATCACATAGCCTCCGGAAATGCACGAAATAAATTCGGAGACGCTTGCGGGTTTGCTCTACCGACTGCTCCATTTCACCTGGCTTGGAATCAGAAGATGATACTGCTGCAAGTGCGCTTTTGCAGTGGGAAGCTACATCTGCCCATGAATCAGCGTCAGCATCTGCTGCTTGCAGAAGAAGATCTGACAAGACTTGCCACAGGCTTGGGCGCGCACGAAGAACATCGATGAATTCGAAGCATAAAGATTCCCAGAGCTGCGTTCTCTCCTCACTCCAGCCCTGAGGCTCAGAGTCACTTCCCCCCACCACATCGAAATCAAACGGGCACTCGGCCAACTCACCTTGGCTTCTCCATTGCTTAGAAGCCCGGAACAAAGTTGAGCATGGCACATACTTGTGGATCAACTCCGCATGTCGTCGGAGAAGGTCTTCCCACTGCAGGCAAAGATAGCAGCGGTCCATGCAAAGGCGAGTTGTGGCAGCAGAGCAGGACAAAGTAAAGAGTGTGTCCCCATCTTTGTCTTGGAGCATGGGGTCTGCTCCAAATTCCAGAAGTGCATTGACAATGTCGGAGTTTCGTTGATAAGAGGCATCATGGCCAGGTGTGCAATGATGACAATCCAAAACATTTGGGTTTGCAGATGCATTGAGAAGTGCAAGCGCCGAATCTGCGCGCCCTACGCAAGCTGCCATGTGCAGCGGGCTTCTGCGTCCAGGGGGAAAGAAATCGATGGTGGCATTGCCTTGAATGAGAAGCTCGACCACCTGGCAAGTTGAGCTTCTGACCGCAGCCGCCAATGCTGAATCAATGAGGATAGCATTCGGGTCTTGACCGGAGGCAAGTACCCTTTCAACCTTCTTTGGATCCATGTCCTCAATCGCGTCGAAAAGGCTCTCAGTCAGTGATTGGGTTTTCGGAAGAAAAACCACTGACACTGCGGGCGGACGGCCCAAGTCTAGCCAGCTATCATCAGACGTGATCTCCTGCCCAGCATGCAGCACCCGCACAGCGAAAGAAGGCACACCTGATGCTGCAGAGACTTGCCCACGCACCATTGTCAAAATGTCACTATCTTCTGAAACCATCACTGTTGTGAGAATATGGCCCGTTAAGGCGTTTTCCACAGTGATGGCGCCGCCAAGTGTATCCGCAGTCCTGTCATCATGCTGGCTGTCTGCGCTGGTGATGCGGTACACTGCCTCGTACTTGTCAAGCAAGTTGTCGGACCAGGCGCTAATGTTTCCAATGTGTGTGCGACACGTGGGCCGAAGGATGCATGTCCAATCTTGCCAGATTTCAAAGCCCACAAAGTGGCTCTGCCGGAAGAGGACATACTTCCCTGGTCCCATGGTGTCGCCAAGTCCCATTTTGACCAATCTTTTCCTGAGATAGGGACTCGAAATGCTCATTCCACTGCCCTGTCCAATCACACCTTCAAAATTTTGGTGATTCTGATATACAATCGTTATGTCAACTTGGCGAGAGATGGTGCAAAAAGAGAAAGATGCAGCTGAATTCACTAGGCCGAGTCTCTTGTACCGTTCCAACATGCGGTTTCCATCTGCAAGGGCCCAGAATGGACCGTCTTGGATGTATGGCAATTTGATACCGAGGGAGCGGAGAGCGTCTATGAGGCACACATTTTTTTTCCGCTCGGCTGCACGGATGGAGGTGGGTGTTGCTCTACTTTTTGTGGCCGGCGTAGGCGGCTCTGGGGATGACGCATCGATCGTGCTGCTGCCGAACTCTTCCAGAACAGCAATGAATTGCTGATGTTCCATTAACCGCTGCTTGGCCCAGCGTTTAGCGGCTTTCCGACGTTCATGCACAAGGACCTTGTCCCAATAGGTCCGTTCTCGGCGACGCTGTCTTTGGCGACGAGTCAAATTCGACCAATCTTCCCAGAAGTGTCCGTCCGGGCCTCACGCAAGTGTCTTGGAAGCTGCATGGTTGAGAGTTTTGAAGGCAGCAGTGTGTGTGTGTGTGCGGGTATATTCAGCCAAGATGCCGGAGCCCGGCTGCCCGAGAGAATGCGCCAATCCTGGCGAAAGAAATGACTCACATGCAATGTAGTGAACTATTGCTATGATGGCTTGGACACGGCAGAGCACGCACCTTCATCCAAATTGGACTCGAGCATTTTCAGTGTTTGGGCTCCACTGCACATTATAATTAGTGCAGGCATTGTTTTTTTCACACTCGCAGTGACAATTACCAAAGTTGCTTGTTGCATCACAACGCTCCTGAACTACTTTCAAAATGTTCAGGCTGCTTACCGCCTCAGCAGAATTAGCGATCTCATGGAGCAAAGTAGACTGACAACTGGATCCATGAAGCGACTACTTCACTATGAATGTACATGCTAACCGGAGAATCTGTGACATGACTCGCTGCTTTACTTGCTCAGCAAGTTGGGCCAACTTCCAAAATCAGTCACGGAACCTGGCTGCCCGAAAGAATTAGCCAATCCTGGCGACAAAAAAGCCCATGTGCATCATAGCGAACTTCAATGCTATGGTTGCATGGGCGCGACAGACCTCGCACCTCCACCTAAATTTGGAACATCTTCGTTGCACACTCGCAGTGACAATTGCTAAAGTTAAAAGTTGCTTGTTGCATCACACTCCTCCCGAACTCCCTTCAACATGTTCAAGCTCTTTAGCACCTCAGAAGAATCAGCGATCTCACGGAGCGAAGTCGGCCGACAACTGGATCCATGACTACTTCATTATGGAATTGCTAACCGGTGAATCTGTGACGTGACTCGTTGCTTTACTTGTGCGACAAGGTACAGCAACTCTCATGAGGCTTGTCTAAGCCGCCGCAGACAATCAAAGAATTGAGCGGCCCTGGAGCAAGACAGGCAAGAAACAAGTGACACAAGAGTTGTCGAGACAACCAGCAACTGCCTTCGAGCTCTCCTCCAAAACTTGGGCTCTTATGGCCTTGGAGCTCCAAGTTTCAATACTACGTGTTGGTGAACACGCTGAGAAGGCGGCGCTCGCAACAAGTTTGATTTGCAAACAAGTAGCATGTCCATAGCAAAAGAACCGCCTGGCCCAACTTGATGTCCGTTGAAGATTTGAATGTCCCGACAGGGTCAAAATGAGCCACAGGTCCTCATTCAAATCGCACAAGCGGAAAGCAAAACAAACGCTTTGGTTTTGTCAGAACCAGCACAAGGTCTCTGCAAATTGTCAAAAGCCAGGAATCCTTGGCATGACAAGCTGCAGGACGACATGACACAAGATTGCTGCAAGAAGAAAGGACGCGTGACAACTCGTTTTGATCCAGAAAGCACTGCGACGGCAACGCAATGGTACATGCACAATCTGTAAGCCTCAAGAGTGGAATGCATTGGTGTGGGCCACAATCGATCCTGAGCATCCAAATCCATCCTCAAATCCATCCACTTTTTGAGGTATTGTCTGTACTTGGCATGCCTTCACCCCATTTCACCCCTAATATCACCGAAAGCTGATGCCAGGCCTGAGATTTTGAAATCCACTGTGAACTTCTTTAGCACTTCTTGGCCTGAGTGGGAACAACGTTGCAAGACTTTATGCAAATCGCACTTTTCTTGTGGATTTTCTGTCCGTTGCTATGCCTTTACGTCATCTGCACGGCAATCCAACCGCAACCAGGTAGTTAAACCACAGTCTGACATTCTTGCGAATGGATATACAAACTGTTTGCACGCAGTAAAGCTATCCCCTGCAAACTGCCGCATAAACCAGCGCGCAGGCTTGAAGTGCGCAGCGTGCTGAGGGCATTG